GCTTGAACCACAAGTTTGGTGGTTCAAGCTCACCAGCCGCTCCTTGGAACAGGTTGGAACTGACTCAACGGCACTTAACAACAACAACATACTGATGTGAATGGAGCAGAGCTTTTGGGAGTTCATTTATCAATGGGACACAACTCAAAATGAGGAGAAACATCTGCAAATATCCATTAACAGTCAAAACATGAAATGTATGAAGTATTAATCTAGGAAAGTTGGAAGTTGTCAAAAATGAAAGGGAACGCATAAAGATTGAAATCCTAGGCAATAGTGAGCTAAAATGGACTGGTATTGGCCATTTTGAATCAGACGATCATTTTGTTTCCTATGCTGGGAACAACAAATTGAAGAGGAATGGCATCAAATTCATCATCAAAAAGAACATTTCAAGATTTATCTTGAAGAACAATGCTGTCTGTGACAGGGTACTATCCATATGCCTAAAAGACCTGTTGGAGTCCTGGAGCTCGGGTTAATGCGCTGGACTGCAAAGTCAGTTTGAACCACAAGGTCGGCGGTTCAAGTACACCAGTCACTCCTCAGAAACCCTATACAGGGTCTCTCTGAGTCAGAACTGACTTGACGGCACAAAACAACAACAAAAAGACCTGCTAACACCATCTTAATCAAATTTACACACCAATCATGAAACCTAGTGGTGATAAAACTGAAGAATTCTACAAACTTCTTTAGTCTGAAATTGATCAAACATGCAATCAAGATGCATTGATAATTATGGTGATTGAAATATGAAGGTTGGAAACAAACAGGAAGGATCAGTAGCTGAAAAATACAGCTTTGGTGATAGAAATGATGCTGGAGACTGCAGGATAGAATTTTGCAAGACTAACTACTTCTTCATTGCAAATGATTTTTTTAAACAATATGAAAGGCCACTATACACATGGACTTCACCAGATGGAATACATAGAAATCCAACTGACTATATCTATGGAAAAAGATGGTGTAAAAGTTCAGCATCATCAGCCAAAACAAGGCCAGGGGCAGACTGTTGAACAGACCATCAACTGCTTACATGTAAGCTCAGGCTGAAGCTGAAGAAAACTGGAACAAGTCCAAAATAAGATCTTGAATATAACCTACCTGAATCTCAAGAACAGATTTAATGCATTAGACACTAATGACTGAAAGTTGTGGGATAACAGCAAGAACATCACACAGGAAGAAAGTAAAAGGTCATTAAACAGATAGCAAAGAAAAGACCAACATGGATGTCAGAAGAGACTCTCTGAAACTTGCTCTTGCGTATGGAGAAGTAAAAGTGACTGAAAGAAATGAGGAGGTAAATGAGTGGAACAGAAAATTTCAAAGGGCAGCTTGGGAAAACAAACAGAAAGTATTATAATGAAAGTACAAATACCTGGGATTAGAAAACTGAAAGAAAGGGAAGAACATGCTCAGCATTTCTCAGGCTGAAAAAACTGAAGAAAAAATTCAAGTCTCAACTTTCAATATTGAAGGAGCTTATCATCAAAATATTGAATTGATGCAAAAAGCGTCAAAAGAACATGGAAGGAATATGCAGTCACTGTACCAAAAAGATACGGTTAATGTTCATCCATTTCAAGAGGCAGCTTATGATCATGAACTGATGGTACTGAAGGAAGAAGTCCAAGCAGTACTGAAGGTACTGACAAAAAACAAGCCTCCAGGAACTGATGGAATCCAAACTGAAATGTTCAACAAACTGATGCAGCACTGGAATTACTCACTCGTTGTTGTTGTTGTCAGGCGCCATCGAGTCGGAACCGACTCATAGTGACCCCATGCACAGCAGAACGAAACAATGTCCGATCCTGGGCAAACTCACTACTGCTGCCACACTTGATGCCATCAATGATGCCACCTGGCTGATCCATCTCGTTGAGGGTCTTCCTCTTTTTCTCTGACCCTCCACCTTACCCAGCATGACATCCTTCTCCAGCCACTGTTCTCTCCGGACAATGTATCCAAAGTATGAGAGACGAAGCTTAGCCATCTTGGCCTCCAAGGCTCACTCGTTGATGCCAAGAAATTTGAAAGACAGCTAGCTGCTTGTCAACCAGTTGGTTAAGATCCATATTTGTGCCCATTCCAAAGAGGGGTAACCCCACCGAATGTAGAAATCATTGAACAATATCAGTAATATTACATACAAGTAAAATTTTGCTGAAGATAATCTAAAAATAGCTCCAACTATACACCAACAGAGAACTGCCAGAAATTCAAGCCGGATTCAGAAGAGGACATGGAAAGAGGATTATCAATGTTGATATCAGAGGGATCTTGACTAAAAGCAGAGAATACCAGAAAGAAGTTTACTTGTGCTTTAAGTTTACTTTATTTCTCATACCTCAGACATGTATCAGGCGGGAACAGTCTCTGGAGAAGGACATTATACTTCGGTAAAGTGTTGTTGTTAAGTGCCGTCGAGTCGGTTGCGACCCATAGCGACCCTGTGCAGGGTTTCCGAGGGTGTAAATCTTTACGGGAGTAGAAAGCCTCATCTTTCTCCCGTGGAGTGACTGGTAGTTTCGAACCGCTGACCTTAAGGTTCGCAGCCACTACGCTACCAGAGCTCCTTTCGGTAAAGTGTAGGGTCAGCGAAAAAGAGGAAGACCCACAGACGGATTGGCACAGTGGTAGAAGCAGTGGGCTCAAGCATAACAACTATAAGGATGGCACAGGACGGGGCAGTGTTTCATTCTGTTGACTTAATGAAATCTAACAACAATATATGCTATAAACACTGGAACAAATATCATCGACAAAGTACAGGTATCCCACACGTTTTGAAAGCTTACCACTTTGCTTTTACAAAAGACCTACATTAGTATATCAATAGTATCTTTGTTTCTATAGGGGAAAAAGTGAAACTTAAAAAGTAGCGTTAAGTGTTTTGCAACAAGCCCTTAAAAAGGCAGGCAAACCCTGTGACACAAGAGTGGAATTGCTAAGCTCCTGCCATGGGAACACTCAGTATCTCAACATCAAGTCACTATAGCTTTGAACTGTGTCTGTGAACACTACATGGTAATGTTATTTTAGGCTTTATGCGCTATTTGGTATGATTCGGTAGGTTAGTTTTTGAGTCTCGGAATCTTCAAAAAAATTTCCCACACAAATTACTGGTAATTGATCTTCACTTTATGCCACTTCAGCTTAGTGAACATTTTATAGAAATGCTGTACTTTTAGAGAGTGGAGGACGCCAGTATTAACAAAATGAAAAAACATCAGATTATGAAAAGAATGATGTACCATGACTAAATGTGGATTATTCCAGGAATGCAAGGTTTGTATAATATTTTAAAAATCATTCAATATAAATGACCACCTAAACAACCGAAAGGAAAATAATATGATAATAATAGATGGACAAAAATCATTACCCATTCATGAAAAAAACATCTTAGCAAACTAGGGGTTGAAAGGCACTTCTTCAATGTGATAATAAGCCTGTATGAAAAACCTCCAGATATTCATCATCCTTAATGGTGAAATACTGGACATAGTCCCTATAAAACTTATCAAGGCAGAGAAATCTGCTCTTAGCACCCTTTACAACTTTTTACTGAAGGTTCTAGCCAAGACAAGTAAGGGGAAAATACAAGAAATAAAAATTAGAAAGAAAGAAACAAAATAGTCTTTTTAATGACCATTACATGACTGTGTACATAAGCTATACTACAGCAACTTTAAATATCTATAAGACTAGTAAATGAATTTGACAAGGTTATACAATATGAGCTGTGTATACTAAAATCAACTATATTTGTAAAAATTGGGAAATCTAACATTTACAATGTCATATTCTTATATAAAATACTAAAAAGTACATCTACAGAAATTGAAGAAGAGTTAAATAAATGGAGAGATCAAACCACATTGATGGATCAGAAGAATCTACATTGTTAAGATATTCATTGTCCCCAAATTGACTGGATATTCACCCAAACTCAACCAAGATCTCAAAAGGCGTTTTCACAATAATGCCAAGGGCTTCTTAAAGTTAATATGTAAGAGTAGAGGACCTAGAATAGCAAAAACAATTTGGAAAAGAAGAAAAACATTGGACAGTTTACACAACCTAGTTTCAAGAATGTTTTATCGTGGATTTTGCTTCAGCGACTTCGGGACAAATGAATAACAGAGAATTAATATAAATTTCAGTGATCAAGGTAGTGAGGTATTGACTTTAGACAAACAGGTCAGTATAACAGAAATAGAGCCGCACGTAAATGTCACATTATTATTTTTAACAAAGGTACCAAGTTAATCTTATGCAGAAAGGATGATCTTTTCATAAATTATGCTGGAACCGGATAAGCATTATGGGAAGAAAATGAACCTTTATCCAAGGCATTTGTGTTCCAACAAACACACAAGTTAACTAGTGGTGGGTCATAGCGTTACATGTAAAAACTGAGACTACTAAACTTTGTGGGGAAAACATAGATGAATTTCTAATTTTGGAATGGGCCAAGATTTCTTATAGAGTCACAGAAAGTACTAACTATTAAAAAATTGATAAACTGCATTTATCAACATTAAACGTATGCTCGTCAAAAGATATAATTAAGACAATGCATCCAAAAGTCACTGGGAGAATAAAAAGTTGCCCTTCCACATAGTAAATAATCTGTGTAGGAAGCTTAATGAAAATAATACTCTATTTATAATAAAAACAACGTATAAAACAGGCATAAACTTGTAATAAAGGAAAAAGGAAAAAAACTACTGGAAATTTATACCTTATAATGACTGTGTAGATTATAAGAAAGATGACAACACTTCCTAATTTAGTAAAGATATTTTAATGTAAGACTAATTTTTTACTTAGGGTATCTTAAATAACATTTTAAGATGGGATTCCAGGTCAAGGAAACATGCCTTTGTTTTAAGTTTATTGATTATTCTTAATAGTACGCTTTTATTCTATTGGATTGGAGCAATCAGGAATTCAGTAAGTGGTCTTTGATTTATTTGTGGACATTAACCAAAGCTTCCAAAAATGGTTAAGAATACTGGAATAAAAATTAGGCCATGAGCAGCCCCAAACACCATAACAAGAAATATAATCTTAAAAAATGTTCTGAAAATGTATGCGCTCGATGTATATAAAACACATACCCCTACTACTGTTGAAAGTGCACTTTGTAACAAGGGATAGCCTAGCAGATACAATGCCTCAATTGCCTTTTGGTTTACTGAGGGCTCAGAACTAGACACAAACGCATAGCATATGTGCGCAGAAAAGTCGAAAGAAAACCCTATACAAATGACAAGGTTCATCATGGATATGGAATCAAGATTGACATTCCAGTAAGCCATGAAACCTGTGACTCCGACTACCACAGATGCAATAGCGAAAGTTACCCACAAGGAACACAATGGATGAGGAATTAACAGTAAAGAAACAACAAACATAGCTAATGATGCAATAATGACACTTCGAATGGTATTTTCCACTATTACAGTATACTGATCATAATATATGAAGGCCTGGTTATACACCAACAGGGGAATTTTACACTTTGCAGCAATGCCTCGAAACTGTTGCAACATCTTCTTCTTACTGGCTGGAGTAGAAATATTCTTGGTCTGAATAAAAGCCCGGGAAGAAACGATTTCATTTGATGATGAAATATTAATATCATATATGAAATTTGAAAAATTCTTTAAAAATATGGGAATATTGTTTATAAAAGTATCCTTATCATTGACATCTTGTTTTGCTTCTCCCAAATACTGCACATATGATCTTAACCAAAATTCTGTGAGACTACTATCTATATACTCATTCTCTTCAAACTGTCTCATGCATTGTTCCAATTTTTGCCTCACATCTTTATTCCAGTAGTCAACATTTTCAGTAACGACCACCATAACCATGGGGCCATACTCTGAAAAATACGCTTCATCTACATCAAAATACGGTGTGACGTAGGAATCATCGCTCGCTAGATTTCGAACATCTAAACCTTCTTGCACGTGGAAACACCCATATATACTGCTTATGATATACATAAGGTATAGCAACACTACGAAACACTTGGACTCCATGCTTGTGAGAAAAGGGCCAAAATAGTCTCTAAAGAACAAATTCATTGGATGGATACCAGTTCCATGCTCATCTGGGAGAGAACCAAATGGGGCACAGCAGGACCTTTTTAAAGAGGCACATTTTTGGTCAGGACTATCTGATTTTTCCAACCAGCGCAGACAGACTACTTCTCTCTTACCATCCAGGGCCAAAAATGCTCCAAAACAGGTGATGTTATAAAAATAACAAAAGAGCAGAGTTGTTCCTGTGTAGATGCAAAAGTACTGTACAGATCTGAAAGAGGTCATAACCCCTGTATAGAAGGCCAGGACATTGGTGATGGTGGTGACTGTAATGGACACTGCCACCTTTGAATAGACACTGGACATCCGATGTCTTATGCTATCCATGAGGTTGGTCTTCTGCCAGGCAGAAATCATGATAAACATGTCATCGACCCCAACGCCTGTAAAAAGAGAAACTAAATCTTCATCCATACCAATACTGAATGAAAACGAAACAAATTGATTCAAACCATTCTCTTGTGTCCATCTGTTAAGGTCTGATTTATCCTGCCCAGTGTCTGCTTAAATACCACCACCTCTGTAATGTTTCCTCTGTCTTTGAATCTACAACAGAATTCATCACTCCCTCCTCTGTAACAATGCTGAGCTTTGCACATATCCCTCTTATTTGCACAGAGCACAGTATACCCTCCTCCCCTCTTCACTTATGGATGTTTTAAAAATGAGATCAGCATTCAATGCTTGAATGGTGGAAATTGAAGTAGGATTAACAATGTATCTTTGATTCCACTTGATTGCTTGAGAGATCATTTTCTCCTATAAATCATTTTCACACCAAAACATAGATATGCACAGTCAACATGGCTGTTGCTTAAAACATCAGCTGGCTTTATATAGCTACAGTTAGCACCTGACTACCTCTATGGAATTACTTGAGAGGTAATGCACAACTTATACACACACATACAGTTTTCCTTCTAGTTGTTTTAGATACCTAGAATGCTATTATTCAAACTTCAAATGCAAACATTCCTGATATCAGAAATATGCATAAAAGTAAACCTTGAAAGTGTTTTACTCATTAATGCCTGTTAGATAATTAGGTCTCTACAATCGTGTTTCATGATTGCTTTGGAATAGAGTAGACAGGAGATCATTTGACATCACTGAAGACATCATTGAAGGCTAGGAAAGCAGGGTCTCCCAAGAGTAAAGTGTGCCAGAAGAAACAGCATGAGCATATCACCTCCCTCAAATTTTCTACTAGATCTGATATTACTTTCACTCATCTACACCTTTGTTTTATTGTGTGTGGGTTCAAAATCAGTGCTTGGAATTGAAATGTTGATCTCAATTTCAACTTTCTTAAGATCTTCTTTGTGGATTACATGCCAAAATTGGAAGGACACTGGGAATTGCAACATAGCCCCTACATCAAATGTTCTATGGATAAGATCAAGGCTAAAGGCTTCACACTAGCAAAGTATGCATGTTGTTGTTGTTGTTGTTCCAGCTCATGGCAACCCACATAGAGTTTCCAGAGGAGAGGCTGGTGGGACTGAACTGCCAACCTTGTGGGTTAGAAGTCCAGTGATTATCCTATAGTGTCATTCCAGGACTCCAAAGTATGCATAGTCTGTTATTAACTGTATCCTGGCTTCAAGGATTCTAACTTTAAAGACTCCGGTTGTGCTCAGCCTGACAAAAGAGAAGATTCAGAACCACTAAGGACAAAGAATTAAATCAGTGATAATTGGTAGGTATTTAAAAATGCATTTTATTATTTATAGAACCTTGCTCAAAATTGTCTTGGCACATTTCTTGTTTGAACTATTGAAACTGTACTTCCATACACACATTGGAATACAGGTTGTGGTGTGCACTGAATGATAAAATGTATGTATGCACTAGAATGTGGGCTCTGAAGCATTAGAGTACATTAACTGACATAGTACCCAACTCACTCACTACTTTCTCCAGGTAAACAAATATTTTCTTCTAAGTTGTTTACTTTCTAAAATACAAACACCGTTTCCTTCTCATGTTAAATAAATTCCAACAATACAGAAAAATATAAAAACAAAATGCAAAACAACTATAATTTTACTTTTGAGGAATAATCCCTTACTAACATGTTGATGTAGAACCATTCAGGATTGTTTTATGCAAAAATATGCACTCTCTCTCTCGTCATATCAAACATCTCATGTTTAACCAGCAGTTTCCTTTAGCATTACATATCTTTTTTAAAGGACTGAATAAGATTCTACTATTTTAATGTACTATGCTTGATTTTTTAAGTATATGAAAATACTAGAATCTTTTTCTAATATAATTTTATTCTAATATTCATATACTATGTTTGATTTGGGGGTTCTGGTGTGGCACTGTAGTATAAGCACTGAACTGCAAAGTTGGTTCGAACTGAAAGGCTGGTGGTTCAAGCCCACTAGCCACTCGTAGGAACCCTATACAGGAATGCAATGAGTTGGGACCAACTCAAAGGCACTAAACAACAATGTTTGATTTTGACCAATCCCATTTTGATAACAGAATATTGTTTTCAGTATTTTCCCATTCTAAATAACTTATTTTACGCTTTGAGCACCTAACCAAATTATCTGTATAAATTCCTAGAGTGTTACTTAATGGTGGGCAAAATATATTCCATTTTTAGGCTTTTTACTTAATGTTGCAAAACTGGACTAAAAGCGTGTGTACCAATTTACACTTCTTCCCAGCTTAATATGAGAGTGTATTTATTTGCATACAACTTTCCAATATCCTTCAACTTTGCTCATGTTTGAATCTAGGGAATTAAAAGGTCTCACCTTGTTTTAATTTGCATCCTTTGATTATTTTTGATTAATTTTTTCTTTCATCTTAAGTGATTTGCATGTTGTTTTGGGTGTGTTAATTTCTTATTTGGTTCAAACCCACCAGCTACTCCTCAGAAACCTTATAAGGGTCGCTATGCGTTGGAACTGCCTTGATGACACTTAACAACAATTGTTCATTAATATCCTTTGTTCAGTTTTCCATTGGGGCAACAGATTTTTCCAACTATAAGGAAACTCCAAGAATTCCATTGGTTTTTTCTGTACGCTACCACCTCATTTTAGCTCTCTGTACACCCACCTAAATATAATTACTTTTTCCTCATTCTAATATAAGCTGTGCTTTACTCCATACACTTATATACACAGTGGGTAGCCTCATATTTTGGGTTTACTCACCTAGAATAAGAAATGGTGAATTTGCAACTATGATCACAAATGGAACTCCAATGTACAACATCAGGCCAAAGCCACTTACTACTGCCAAGGCAGCAGAAATCACTCCAAAGGTTGCAACGCACATTTTGTTTCGTACACAGTCACACCTGTAAATAAGGAAGGAAAAATCATGGAATGTGTGGTGGCAACTTCCATCAAGTCATAACATCCTTGTCTTGAAGGCCTATTCAGAAACCTCTAGGGCAATAGTTCTCATATTTGGCTGCAGGAGACCTTGAATTCCCAGACTCTACTAATCCTGGTGTAGCACTGCAGCATAAGCACTGGACTGCTAACCACAATGTTGGTGGTTCAGACCCACCAACCACTTCTTGGAAACCCCATACAGGGTCACTATGAGTCAGAACCAACGACGGCAATTAAGAACAACAGAGTCTGGTGGTGCAGTGATTAAGCACTAGTCTGCTAACTGAAAAGTTGGCCGTTTGAACCCACCAGTATCTCCATAGGAGAAAGATGCTTCTGTAAAGATTACAGCCTTGAAAACCCTATGGGACAATTAATCTCTGTCCGATGGGTTGCTATGACTCAATGGCAAAGAGATCAAAGACCAAGAGAGAAAAAAAAAAGAGGGGGCAGGGAAGTTGGGAATCTATACTTTTACCAAGCTCTCCAGGTGAGTCTTAGGGAGCCAGCACAACACTGATTCATTGATGGACATTTCAGAACCACAGAAGGAATATGAAAACACTGCAAATAGGTAATTCTCCTATCCTCTTCAAAGGATTCCAACAGGCGATGGAGGGCAGGCTCTCCCAAAGAGGGAACCCACATCCAGTCATTTGCTTCTCATCTATCCCCCAACTCCAACTAGCCATAAAACCCATCCTAAACAGCTCCTGTATTTCAAAGCTATTTCAGTGTGTTTTGTGTTTATAAAAGATTTGAAAGCCTTCTACAATGTTTTCAGTATTCTCCTCTATTGGTGAAGTAGACTCTGGAAAGTTGCCATGAATTGCAAAGGAATTAGAAACATCATTTCTTTTGAATGCTCCAACTGATACTTGCTTCCTTGTCAGACCAACAGAAATGGGGATAAAGGTATATATGCACAAGGTTTTAAAATATGGGTTTCAGTGCTCGACCTCTCTAACAACCATAATATATTGTTAAATACTTGCAACACCCTCTGACATTAGATTTTACTTTTTTGGAAGTTGCTTCAAAACAAATGACTTATACCTGCTCCAGATATTTTACTAGGGGAAAGAAACTAAGCTTGGAATTGAAGACTAGAAGAGGTAACTGAGGAACTGGAGCCTCTGACTCTAAAATAGGAATATGACCAAAGATCATCTTCAGACTTTCTCTACCTGATCTCATCTCTAATGTTCAATAGGCAATGAAAGGAAAAAGAGATTCAAAAGAGGAACACTGTAGGTGTTGTAGAAATTTGCAGATATTCTAGGTCCCAAGCAGTTCATCAGAACTACCCAAGGAAATTCTTTTAAATGTACATTTCTTGGAACCTAGTCCCACAAATTTGGATTCAGTATGTTTGTAGCAAAGCTGTAGAATCCACATGTTCACAGTTTTCCTCAGGTGATTTCAGTGCTCTTGCAGATTTGGTCTTGCTGGAGCAAAATCAATAATTTCTTCTTACTAAGTAGGGCATGATTAGATTAGAAATTATTGCACTTAGAAAGTTGTGCATATGCTTAGTGAGAAATCTTCATCTTTTTTGAAAAGTAATGGTTTCCATCATGAGTAAATGAAAGTTTACAGCATACTTAAGAAATGACAGGTTTTCAAATTGCCACTAGAAATTGGTCTTAACATTTGCAATACAGTGTGTAAATTTCTGGAATAACAGATAATTTTGAAATATTCTAGAAGTCCATATAGCACTACTTGCTTTAGAATGAATAAAATTCCATTTGGAGCATGAACTTTTGTGAAAGTCTTAGGATTATTCAAATAACTACACTAAAATGTGTCCTAATAATCCTATACAAGGTAAACGCATGTATGCAAGGTATAAACTTAATATATCAATGAGTGAAGCAGGCAGCACAGTGATTTCTGAGGCCCCTCCTCCAGAAAAGAAGTAAGACACCCTAAGTATAGTAGAGGAGGAGCAAGGGTTCCCAAGGGACCTACAAAAGCACCCGCAGGATAATAGGTTTTATATTCAAATCAAGGCATGCATCAGCCCATCATGCCAGGATCTGTGATGCAAGAATTTTCCTGCCTCCTTTCCTCTTCTTGAGCATCAGGAATCAGCAGCACAGAGAAGGAGGAGAAGAGAAAGAAGAACCCTGGAAAACCCCTTTCCTCCACTAAGGGCTTGTCCCATGCAACATGCACCAGCTTTGGGGGTGAGAGGTAGGGGTGGAAAAACCTGAAGCTCAAATTAACCACTTTTGTTTATTACATGGACACTTAAATTACCTCAAAATTATGGAGGCCTTCCTGGGTTTTCTTAGGGTAGTGGAAAAGCCTAATTATGAAATTTAAAGGGACACAAAATAAAATTGATTTATGTTTATCACTCATGCATCCTGCTAGCTTAACATGTTGGTTACCAAAGTATAAAAAGTCTTTACCAGACAAATACAAATCATTTTCTAATTGCCTTCAATATTAAACTATCTGCATCTATTGTCCACAATCATCTAGATAGAATATAGATTTGTATTTTCAGAACGAAGGATCTAAAAGAAAAGTCGTGTCAAACCAATAATTGGTGCCTTGTAGATCTCATACTATTTTCAACATTTATATACTTTTAAAATTTGCAACCAAATTCATTGCAACAGATGTTTTATTTGCTTTGTTATTTCCAGCTCCCTTTTTATTGTTGTAGTTTCTTCTTTGTTTTCTAAGGGATGTAGTTTTTCTTCTTCAGAATAATGAAACTGAGGTAATTTATTAACCCTCGGGTGATCTCTACTGAGCTCAATATCCTTTCTTAACTGGGGCTTCTTTTCTCTTAAATCTATAAATTATATCACCTGATCCGACACCTACTTACACATGATAATTCCGAAGAGAGAGAGAAAAAAAGTGTATATACCTACATTTAATCCCAGGCATTTTGATTCCAGAAGACAGGGCCTGAGAATATATATTTTAGGGTGCTACAAGTGACTCTGATGTGAGAATCTCTGGAATAAAATAATCTCTGCAGTTCCTTCTACATCTGTATTCTATGGTTTGCTGATATTTAATATTTTAGCTTCCTGATCACAAGAGCTCAACCTAATCCTAATGCCAAGACAATAATTTTTAAGTGCTCAACAAGGCACACTTTACATTGAAACAAATGGAGGCATCCAAGTCAATTCTGTTATTTGATTATATAGGTTCATTCCAAGTGGAACAATTAATAAGATTAAATATATAAAGTAAAAAGCATGTACCAAATCAAATGAAACTGACTGCAACTTATTTTTATCATTCCATTTGATTGTATGCTATTGCTGATGGGCAAAACAAAAAGAGTCATCAGACTTAAAAAGAGTTTAACAAATTAAGAAGAGTTTTTTTTTACCTGTAGCATGATATGATTGCAAATGATATGATTAGAAGGTATGCCAAGTGAAACAAAGGGACCACTGTTTTAGAAGTTGCCTCAAATTCCAATTGTCTGGAAAGTGATGAAAAGTAGACCGCCTGCCACAAAAATATACTCAGATAAATAACCTTGAATTTCACTTTTTGTGTGTGAATTACAAACACTTTTGAAACATTGATCAAAAGAACATGTTAAAACTCAGTAAAAGATCAAAATACATGGGTTATGATTTTAGATTAAAGATAATGTAGCTTTGCTTCCTCTTATAAATCCATAGCATCCTTTCCAAAGTTAATTTCAAAGTGCCAAAGCTTTAAAACTCCTGAATATACAAAATTTGAATTTTAAATAAAATGGTGAAATCTGGACCACATACAAAACTGTAGAAATGATGGCTTCTTCTAATTTTTTATTAGGACAGAATCTTTTGCTGTTTTAATTGCACTGGTATCATTTCAGGGATGCCTGGTATTCAAAGATTTTTTCCAGTAGGGGTGTGAATTTGACTAGGCTTATTTCCAAGTATTATTAGTAGGGCTGTGGGCCCAACAATGACTGAGCAGCTAACAGGCACCTAGCGCTATGCTAAGTGCTTTATTGATGACTAACTTGAAAATTGCCAAGCCAGTTATCTTTGCAAACAAGACAGTGGAAATTGTGCTTGGTGGTGTAGTGGTGGTGTGCTGTGGAGTTGGTTCCGATTTATCATTGCGACCCTGTATAGTGCTTCCGAGGCTGTAAATCTTTATGGGAGCAGAAAGCCTCATCTTTCTCCCTCGGAACAGCTGGTAGTTTCGAACTAGTTGACCTTGGGGTTAGCAGCCCGATTCGTAACCACTACGCTACCAGAGCTCCTTGGAATTTGTGCTTAACTGCTTCTTAAACCCGGATGAGTTCCACATAAACTTTTTGAGGGACTCCCAGGAGTCCTGGTGTGGCGCTGTGGACAAATGTGTCCTACTGAAAAGTCGTTTGAACTGCAAGGCTGGTAGTTCAACCTCACCAGCTGCTCCTTGGAAACCCTATACAGGGTCGCTATGGGTCAGATTCGACTCGACGGCACTGAACAATAAGTGGCCGGTAAAGAAAGACCTGAGCCCAAAATCAGAATTCTAAAGTAATTCGACTAGGAAGCCTAACCTCAAAAGTAAACATGAAGATTCAGGTCTCGACTGAACAGACCTACTGTGAAGCATGAAGAATTTGTGCTACCAACCAGACTGTCACCAAGGATTTAAGATTTGTGGCTTCTTCCGCAAAGTACTAAGAAAGGGCTACCACCCCAAAATAGCCCGGGAGTGCACTGACCACAGTCCTTGCAACAAATCTTCATGATCCCATCTTCTCATGGCCTCCCTCTAAGCCCCAGCTACCAGGTACCTGGATCTTCTTCAAGTTCAGTCCCTCCTTCAAGTCGCCGAAGACTTTCAGGAAATGCACCAGCCACTTCCTGCTCTGCTCGTTGTTGTCCTCAGCTCGCTCAGTCTGCAGGTAGTACTGCAGCCGCATGGCTTTGACCTCCAGAAGTATCTGGGTCTTTCCCCTCTGGCCTAAAACGACTCCTCCAAGAAGGCTGTTCAAGTAGATGGTCTGATGGCTGAAATTGAAGATGGGAAAGGTGATATTTTTCAGGTCGAAGTCTTTCTGCTCTCTCCAAGCCACCAGGAGCGGGTTGGAAGGCACGCAGCTGTCTCCGAACTTGGCGCACACTTGCGTGTAGTGGATGCGGGTTCCGTTTTCCTTGACCAGAGATAGATCCTGCACCGCGTGGTCCAGTTTACTAATTTCATGAAAACTTTCTGGTTTCAGCAGCGAGGAGGTGTGGGAGAGCACCAAAATGGTAGCGAAATTGAATTCCGTGCTCTTCCTGGTGGCGGAAAAGCTAAGGGAGTCGTTGGTGGAGAAATGTCTCTGCACGAAGAAGCGCTCTTTCTTGGCGGGGCTCCCCATTGGGGAGTACTGCTCCTCTAGATTTTCTTGTTTGTCCTTGAGCAGATGGACAAAGCCAGTGCTGAGAAAGGCCGTCAAGAGCATGGGTCCCAGGAGGAAGAACCAGGGGTACGAGCCCACCGCCCAGCCCAGCCGTTGGAAGACATGGTTGAGTGGTGTCTCCAGGCAGTCCGTGTGGCAGCGGTCGTTCTTGGTCTCAGAAGCAGATGTTAGCGAGGGTGAAGATGTGGCCTGCCCCTCAGCGAGCAGGTGCGGCAGCGATTCTTGGGACTTCGGGTGCTTCTGCCAGAAATGGCGTTGCTTTGACTTCCGCCCCTCCTGCCCGGACTTCCCCAACTGTGACCTTTGCTCCTCCTCCAGCCGGGAATCGGCTTCTGGAACTACTTTCGAGGGGTTAGTAAAACTCATTTCCGGGAAGGAAAGGAGATGCTTTTAGATGGGATAGCTGCTGAAAACGTACCGTCTGGACAGAACTCCCATCTCCACCCCAGCGGACGGTTTCTGGGAGAAATTCTAAGGACGTCTGTTTGAGCATCGGCTGCTCGAGCTCACAGGCTGCAGGCCAGTTTGGGGAGCACATGGTCTGTATTGTTCCGTAGTTTACATGCTAGGGATTTAATTGGATCTTTCCTTTCTTCTGACAATTAATGCAAGAAACATTTCTTAAAGGGGAATGAAATGTGTGCCTGCCCTTCACTAACTCATCGTTGAATGTGAGACAAAGGCTTGTTCCCAGGCACACACATACAAAAAACACCCTTCTTACAGAGAAGAATAATGTAAGAATGAAGGCTGAGTTCTACTCAAAACATTGCATTAAGAAGGCAGTGCAATGACATTTTTAAGTTTCTGAAAGGAAACAAATAAATAAACCTCTTAACTTGGAAGTCCATACTCCGAAATTATCTTGAAAATGACAGAGAAAATTTTGTTTTACCAATAGATGGAAAAAGAAATGACAAAGGAAGCAAGAATATATTTTTGGATGGATCCACACCATATCAAATTTTGGTGAATGCAGCCAAAACAGTTCTTAGAAGGAAGTTTATAGCTTTAGAGACTTTGTTAGAAAAGAAGAAAACTTTAAAATTAGTGATCTAAGTTACCACCTTAAAATGCTACGAAAAAATCAGAAAACTAAACCAAAGTAGAAGACAAGATATTACCGAACGTGCCATGGGAATTCTCCTGAACTTCTAGCAAGGAGTCGCAGATTCGGGTGAGGTGTCAGGGACACAAGTCATGAGCAAGACAACAGGAGTATCCACTCGACAGGCGATGGGGTCCATCTCTGAAAGCCAGTGAGATGGCCGTCCATCATGGCTGCCTAGAGGTATTTATTCTTTAAAATGTCCTTCTCTGACGTTCTTTTAGCTCATAGGCCTTTCTTCTTTTTGTCTCCTTATTTAGTTATCCTCTTCTACCTGTGGTTGTTGGTGGTTACCAGGGGGGTGAGGGTGAGAGGAGTGTTGCGTCTACTCCGCCTTCCTTGCATCCCTGTTCTATCATTTTCCCTCCTGAGAAAGACGAGACCCTAAATCTTTAGGGAATGGGTCTGGGAAGTCGTCTGGCTACTTGTGCTGACATGGGAAATAGTCCTATTTACAGGGTCTCAATCTTAACTCATCTAGACTATGGAAGGAGGATGCCGACTGGCCAATGGGGTTCAGTGATGTTCGAAGGATGATATATTCTTGTTGGCTATGCAGGACTTGGATTTAACAGCCTGGAGATGAGAAGAGACAAATTTGACTGAAAAATTCAATAATGAGGACAGTTTTAATAATAGGGTACTGTTACTTAATTTGTGTCAGATTCTAGAATGTTATTGATGTCGTTTTGTACCTGTCTTGACGGACTCACAAAGAAACAGCTCTGTTCTTTGAGATACAGGCAGGTTTCTCTGCAGAGGTGAGCAAATCTAGAGCTCTGCAATTCTGAAGTTCTGAAGTGTTACTTCCTTTAGGGAACATAACTGCTTTTGCGCAAACCACAGGGTTTTGCTTTCTGTTCCTGTAAAGATCCACAGCCTCAGAAACCCTGAACAGGGTCGCTGTGAGTCGGTACCGACTCTATGGCACAAAACCACAACCACCACTAAGGGTGTTGTTGTGCCTTTAGCTGTTGCTTGTTGTACTCTGAGGAAGGTGTCTTAGCTGCAGCCCTAATTGTGGCTAGTAGGAGCCACCTTTATGTCTGGGAGCATTAGACCAAGGGAACACCTTCTTCAGTTTGGGTGCAATACCCAATATGCTTTATACTCATATATCCAGTGGCATGTGGTCTCCACACATTGAATTTTTCCCACTATCTGACTCTTTGTGTTGAAAAAGTGGCGGAAACTAAAAGGTCAGATAAGGGAGTTGAATTTATTCTACCAGTTCTATTTTTAATTTCTGTAATATCGAAGAGCAGGTAAAATAAGATGGTGACAGAACTCAGCAAGGCCCTTTGGAGAGATTATTTAGTTGGAGGCTACGCGTGCCTTTTGGACACAGATTAAGGGTTTACGGAAGGTACATTTCTTACTTCCTCTGAGACCTTCAAGGAAGCAGTTTGTTTCTTCAGAAGTTTTGAGGTTAGGTGCTGAAAGGTACAGTGCTTAAAAAAAAAAAAAAAAAAAAAAAAAAGCAGTAGACAGACAGGAATGTAGTTTTTGTTGTTAGGTGCCATCTACTTGGTACCGACTCATAGTGACCCTATGAACGAAACACTGCCCGATCCTGGGCTAATCTCACTACCGTTGCCACGCTTGAGTCCATCGATGTTCGCTTGAGTCCATTGATGTTGCCACTTGGCCAATCTATCTCGTTGGGGTCTTCTTTTGTTTTTTAAAGGGTGCTATTAGGGAGGCCAGCGCAAAGAGAGCGCTGGTTTTACTCCGTGCCAATAATTATCTCCCCAAAAGCAGTGCTTGGACATCAGTGTGAATCAAGAACCGGGTGAGAGAATAAGACACTTCTCCACACACATGGGAGAGGCCCGGAGAAAAACTTTCTCTCTGGCTTTTTTTCTGTTCTTATAATCATGACAGAGTGGGAGGAAAGGAGGCCATTGAGGGCCTGGAGGACCAAATAGCTGGTTCCTGTACCAAGTAGGAAGGTTACAGACTTACCGGCGACTTCTCAGTCAGTTGTCTCGCAAGACCTTTTCAGGACATTTGTGGGCCACATGAGTTGGAGAGCCACACTTGAAGCAAGTGGCCAGGGGCAGCCATCCCCCAGCCCTTTCACCTCTGGGGGCTCATACCCTGTACTCGTGGCTCCAGTGTCTGAGTTACCTACAGTGAAGGCACGGGGGTTTACTCAAAACCCTTGGGTTTTCTGTTCAGACCTTCTTTGGGGAAGCATGTTGGCCACAATAGCAGCCTCTAAAATTTTTGCCTTTAACTCGTCCTTCCTTCCCTTGGTCACATCCCAACTGTTAAAAACTGTAATTGCTGAAGTCTACAGCTCATTTGAATCACTGTGAGGTCTTATGGCTCTTGACTGGAGTTTGCGCTGAATATCAGGGGCTCACTGGTTTATACAATGATTGTTCAGAACAGTTCTACCCTCTGGGGATTCTGGGTCTAGGTTGGTATACTTTTGCATTGCATTAATCAGACATCTTCTAACAGCTACTGGGTTTCATCTTTTTCTTGGGTTACTTCAGTAAGTTTGAGTAGTTGAATGGCTTTATGTGGATGGCTCTGATTCTATCTGTTAAACAAATCTGCATATATTCTCTCATGGCTCTACCTTCCAGGTTAGATCAAAAATAGGATGTTCTGGAATTCTTCAACAAACTTTCCTGGGTTAGTTGAAAAACTCCCCATTTTATCATTACAGGTTTTAAGGTCCCCCATAGTAAATGGGACCTTCATGAGAGATCATGAAGAATATGGAAAGGGTACAATGAAGAATACAGAAAGGGAGGTTGGGTTAGTGGCTGGGGCTGGGGAAAACTGTCATCTTCACTGAAAATTTCCCTTTGGGGATGGAGGAGTCCAGGGTCTCTATCCTTAAGGCCTTCTTTATCAGGATAGGGCAGTGGCAGTGTGGAGGCTTCACCACCACCTTTCACAGGGAGGACTACAGTAGACATTGTTGGTCTGGGGTACACTGTTAGCACACGTCGTGTATATAATTCAGGGGTGGTCTTGGAGCAGCATGAAGGCTTGTATGTACGGCACCTCAGACCACTTCCTTTGCCTGAAACAGAAAAAGTCTAGTTGTAAGATTGTATTAAAACTTAGGGAACCTCCAGCCAGCCAAACTTCTGAATCCCCCAAAGAGTACTGTGGCCAGGTTGTGGTGCCAAACAAAAGAAGTTTCTTTTTCGTCAGCATGTCCAACTGCAGGTTAAGCTTCGTCTAGTTCTTAAGGAGACAAGCCAAGGGGGAACCTTTGGGCTCTAGTTTCCATGACCCTTGTCCCATGGTGTTACTGGGGCAAAGGGGAGAACAAAAAAAGCCTCTGTCAGAAACTCATCTCAATGTCTTAGGAGACATTCTGCTAACGTTAGCACTGGTCTCGAGGTGTCCCTTGGTGCCTAACCGTGTGTGGACCCTGGCCCTGGGGAAGCCACTTCATCCCCAGGACCCCACTGTGTAGAAGCGGTGCTACTGGGAAGCCCACACCAGACCCTCCTCATTATTACCTTAGCTCTCGCATTTGTAGTTCTGAAGATAATATACCACCGAGGCTTCTGTAAGGCATAAAATGTTCGAATTCTCACCTCACAGTCAATTTCAGAAGGGTAGTAAACATCCCTCCGCATGGACAAAACAACATCCTCCTCTGAGGTCCTTAGCTTGAGACCCTGCTGACTGGGGTTTGAAAAGGTGATATTCATATCATGGCAACGTAAACTCCAGGCACTCCAAACTGCTCAAAAAAGCTTCTAATTCGAGAGTCCGGAGAGAAGGCGGAGAACCCCATTCCCTCCTGGGCCATTCAGGATAATGGTTCAGAGCTTCACTTAAGGCCCACCCTAAGGAATTTGACAAAGGATGACATAAAAGGCGATGAGCTCAATCCCTCTACACTGCTAAGTCCCCTTGATGTACATCCCTACAAGGGCTTCCTATTGGGGATGATGCAAACTCACAAGCCTGACAGGCGAGTCTGCTTTCCCAGGTAAATAGATTTCCAGCCACCAGTAGAGAAAGCAATACTCAAGGAGCTTACAGAAAAGGCAAGCTTTGAAAGTGACTGCCTGCATAAATCAAGAGGCAGTTGTTTGAACAGAACAAGGACATATGGAATGGTTTAAAATCGGGAAAGGTGTGAATTAGGGTTGTATCCTTTCATTATACTTATTTAATCTGCACAGTGAACAAATGATCTGAGATACTGGACTATATGAAGAAGAATGCAGCACCTGGATTGGAAGAAGACTCATTTACAACCTGAAGTATGCAGATA